TGTGACCTGAGAAGCGAAGTCCTCCTGGGCGGATGGCTCTGCCGTCCTCGGTTGGCGCTCCTGATTTGGAGGGCCTTCCGACGTCGGGCAGTTTGCCCTCTCGTCTAGTGTTTCTCGAGCCTGTATGATGGTTCAGGCCATCGTGAGAGACGGAGGTTGGGGCCTCCTGTCTGACGAGGGTTCGCCGCTGCTGTTGGCTAGCTCTCCCAGTGAGGGGAGCGTCGCCGCGGGCCACGGCAATGCAGTTTGTGCCGGAGTGAACCGGCGTTTCCTCCGAGGCAGGTGTCTGCGTGGACCGCTTGGCGATCCATTTGGCAGACCCTTGCCTCTTGCGCTCGATCTCTGGCTTGGCCTTGATCGATTGCGAGGGAGTGGGCTCCTCCGACGGGACTCGGGTGGAACCTTCAGGTGCGGAAGCTTTGACCGTCTGAGGTCGGCTTCGGCGCACGACTCTGTGGCGTTTGCGGGACGCATCGCCACCAGAGGATGTGGAAGACAAGTACTCTTCGTACTTGGCCTGGTCGAACTCAATCTCCAGGGACTCTACAGTCGTCCTGACAGCAACCTCATCAAATTGAGCCACCACCATTTCGTTCGATGAAACAGCTCCTCCCACTGTGGTCGCCATCTTCTATAGGGTGAAAATTTGATTTCCCGGAAATAGAGAGTTTCGTTTGTATTGATAAGAAGGCTTATTACAAACTAACAAATTAAATGTTTACAACAGAAGCAGAGGGAAAGCCCTCTTTGTTTTGTGTGGGGACTTTAGCTGGCTATAGGACGCTTCGCTCGATGCTCGTGTCGAGTATGCTTCCCTTGGACCATTCGATCGAGGTTGCTGGAGAGCTTCAGTTCGCAGTAGAAGCTCGAATCGATGGAGTTCGGGTCTGCTTAGTTCGCCGGCGGTCGGAGCTCAGAACTAGGCAGTAGTGCTGTAATGCAAGGATCTGCTAACAACTTGATCTCAACTACTTTTCTCCAAGTTTTGCGACCTTTTCTCCAGTGTGCTGGGAGGGGCTTTTAAATGGAAGAAGGATAGCTTGACTCATCCTTGAATTATGGGATGTGACCACATCTTCTTCTGAGACGTCTAGCTGCTCCTCGATACCATGAATGGTCATTCGAGGGATTGTGCTTTATGTCCTGTCACCTAAAATGGGAAGGCCCATTCTTGTGTATGAGGCAACGGCCGTCTGCTATCCGAGTGGACCTGACCAGTATTAATGAACCGCATTTATGAGTTCGCAGAGTGATGAGGCGTCTGTCCGATCACTCGTACTGTGTGTGACCGTCCGACGTGCTCTGAGCACGGTGCTTTCTCCTTTCCGGTCAGGAGAGGCGGCGAAGTAGGTGCACAGTACTCTTGTGGGTCTAGCCAACTTGCCGAGTGCCGGCGGATCCAGCTCTTGACTCAGACAGCCGAGGTGAGTCGCATTTATGAATGCTCAGGTTGACTCGACCCCTATCCAGGCCTTCGTACGGTGAGCGGCCGCTTGACGGTCTGGGGGTACTGTGCCCTCTCCCTTCGGGTCAAGAGAGATGGGATGGCCCATCCCAGCACGTGGGGTAGCGGATACCCAGCTGTACTAGTGGCCTTGAGGTTTGCGGGCGGATTCGTCTTTGGACTCGGGCAGGCGAGTCGCGTAAGAGACGAACTTCCGCTTTCCTAACCGATCTTATCTCGTGCAGGCGAGCCGATCATTAGGCGAATCTGGAACCGAGCACGTTTGACGACCGTGCGGCTTAGGTAGGCGACTTCTTGTGGGCGAATTTCCTGTAGGCTCATCAGAGGTATTTTTTACCGTCTACAGCGACCCAGAGGAGAGGGCCTCCTCATACTTGGCTTGGTCGAACTCTACGATGAGAGTTTCGACGGTGGTTCCAGTAAGGTGAACGTCGGATTGCGCCACCACTTCTTCGTCAGAGAAGCTAGTCCCCAGCGGAGTCGCCATCTTTTGTTTGTAGGAAAAATTGCAAAGAAGAAAATAAAGAAAATTGACTTGGATTCCTTTGTTACAATTTGGATTCCGATTATAAAAGAGAGGAGAATGAATTTGATTCTCCCCTTTGTTTAAAACTGGGATCTTCTTGGTAGCGATGGAGTTCCTCCTTCGATTGCTTGTGTCGAACTTGCTCTCCGTTGACGATCCGACCGTCTTGATTCACTGGAACGATTGACTTATTTGATGAATTCGGTTTAGAACTCTTAACGAGTTTAATGGACTCAGAACGAGTTGAAAACTCTGAAAAGAGTTGTTGAGAACCGAATAACTGATTTGGTGTAATTACCTTGCGTTGCAAGTTTAATTACCAATTCTTAAATGAGTTTCAGAACTCGGAGTGAGTTGAAACTCTGTAACAAAGTTGTTAGAACCGAAGATTCGGTTAATAGCCAAGTAAATCCGCTGTTGGTGGAGGGATTCTTCAAGATTTGATTAACTGATTGCTGATCAGTTCTTTGATCTCTTGGAAAATCGCCTTCTCTGTGCGGTTAAGCTGCTGAAATTTGTTAACCTTATATGGTTTTGATACCAGCACACGTCAACCTTCTACTCAATTGAGTAAGTCGGTTATTTATAGGGGGATCAGGGGTGTAACCAACCCCTAAATCCGCTCCTAAGTGGGCGAAAATCCCTCAGAACGTGGGATAACGGTTTTGAGGCCGTTCGACTTATGTTTGAACAAGTCAAAACGCCCCAGTTGGCATTCTGGGCCTTAACTCTGCGTCCAAGGCTTGAGACGCAGAGTTAAATCTCTGTTAGAGATTTGGGACGCACAGGTCGCTTCGTGTGTTGAGTTCTCAACTCTGCGTTCTGGATTTGGGATGCAGTGTTGAGTGTTTGCCAAAGAACGCACAGTTCATGCGTTGTGTTTTAACTCTGGGTTGCAGAGTTGGATGTCTGTTGGAGAACGCACAGTTCATCTGTGTTTTGAATTTGAGAAATGCAGAGGTGAGTTCTGTGTTTGAGAGAGGTTGTTGACTTGTAACCTCGTCCATTGTAACACTGCAAAGGCTACCGCTTATTGATCTTTGCCTGTTATAGGATATGAGAGTCGTCAGATTGTAACTCTCACTGTTAATTGTGAAGGTAACTGAATAGAGTTTTCATCAGCTGTCGGAAGCGTCGTTGAATTGTAACTCTTCTCTATCTGTGTGAAAAGTCCTCTATTTGTAACCTTCATTTGTCGGCACGAAAGCTATTTGATTGTAGCTTTCATCGTTGAAGCTTGACGGGAATCAATCATCCATAGTGATTTTTAGAAAGCTATTTGATTGTAGCTTTCATCGTTGAAGCTTGACGGGAATCAATCATCCATAGTGATTTTTAGACTAATATTTGCTCACAGCTCTCACCAAGCAACTCATCAACTGAGTCCAACCTTTTATTTCTGAAATCATTACACTGCTCATCAACATCTCTAAAAGTTGCTAATATAATATTAGTCATGTTGTTGTCGCAACCATCAAGATCAATCATCTCAGAGATGAGGTCGTATTTGTAGCGATTGTAGAGTTGCGGATGTAGTGATTAGAAAGTCGTCTGATTGTAACTTCCATTGTCGGGGTTTAATAGGGATTAACTATCCATTGTGATTTTTAGACAGCCTACAACGGCGTCGAGGGACTGCGAATGGTGAAGTGCGGCGTCAATGTGGGAGAGGACGAGATGCACTTGAGACTGGGTGAGGTTGAGCTGGCGAACACAAGAGGAGACTTGATTGGCGAGGGAGGTGGTGGAGGAGAGGGAGGAGAGGAGGAGAGACGAATCTGAGCGGGCAATGGAGAGGAGAGGGGAGGAGGGGCCGCGGAGTGCGAGGAGGCTGCGGTCGAGATCGAGGCGGGAGAAGAGGAGGGAGTCGAGGCGGACATCGAGAGAGCACTGATAGGCGATGCATTCGTGAAGGAGGCAGGTCATCGTGCCGATGTTGGTGAGGGATCGGATTTGGGTTAGGTTATGGGTGTTTGAGAGAGAGAGAGAGAGAGAGAGAGAGAGAGAGAGAGAGAGAGAGAGAGCAGATGGGAGAGAGAGAGAGAGAGAGAGAGAGAGAGAGAGAGAGAGAGAGAGAGCATGACAGTTTGTGTGAGAAGATGGTATTTTTGAAAAATCTGTACAAATACAAGTCATACATGTATAAAAGTGAACTTTTGGGGCTGAGCCACACTTTTTTTGAGTTTTTTAGGGCTAAAGAGCATGGGAAAAACTTGATGGGGCTGGGCCACATCAGGTTCATTTTTTGGGGGCCTTACACATTTTTTCCTATTGTTTATCTACTTGTAATGAGCAAATGATATTGATCAGCATTTGTCAAATGATGATATTGGCACAATATAAATGTGGCGACATTGTAATACTAGTTCCCACCACGCATCACATGGATGGCATTATCTTAAAAGCACAACATTGCACAAAGTTATTGGGAGACTTTCCAAATTATTAGAATTTTTAAATAATTTTCCCAAACAATGTATCAACCGTATTACATTATCTTACTATCGATGAATTATCACATAGTTTTACATTTTGTGCACACATATTTGAGTTATTTCATATAGTATCCAAAAAGTCTTTAATGATCAAACATCAATAATCGATAATATTGGTTAAGCCTCAACTCTTATCCTAAAACTCCAAAAAAAAAAAAAAAAAATGGACAGATATTAGAAGGAATTGCTAAACAAAGGGAATCTAAACTACGAAGAATAATATATCTATCTGAATCTAAACCTTTGCCTGTCAAGCTTATCCTCACAATTGAAGATAACATCTGTTAGCTTTAAGTTTGAGCGCGATTTTGAAGTTCTACAAACCCATAAGAAATTCGCGCGCGAATCAGAGGTAGAACAATCAGGCGCGGGAATTTCAGTTAAAATAAACAGAGAGTGAGTAATACAATCAAATGTTAACTGAACAGATTTGATATGATCACCAATCAATATTCCTATATATAAATAACACAAATGAAACCATTTAACTCGATAATCATTTCATTCACAATTTTACAAAATTTTTTTTTTTGAGCGTAGAAATGTTAATACGTTCAATCCTCACCACCATCTTGCTGTGGTTTGCTACCGTCACTTGTTTTCAAGCATTTTATGGAGTTCAAGCACGAAAAAAGTGAGTACTTTATTATTCTAAATGGTAACAAATATCAAAATTTTTATAAGATTTCTTATATTTTTTTCAGTTTAGACGTCGATAACTCTAATGAACTCCAAGACTGTCACACGGGAAATGTCATCGACGACTGTTGGAGATGCTACAACTCAACATGGTATGAAAATCGTAAAAGACTTGCAAGTTGCACAAAAGGGTTCGGCAAAAAAGCTAACGGCGGTAAAACTGGTCAATTTTACACAGTCACAGACGACACTGACGATCCGATGAACCCCAAATTTGGCACTCTCCGTTACGGAGTAATTCAAGAACACCCTCTGTGGATCATATTCGAACGAAGCATGACCATTAACCTCAAAACAGAGCTCATCATCCACAACGACAAGACCATCGACGGAAGGGGAGCCAGTGTGCATGTCACGGGGTATGGATGCATCACCTTACAGTATGTCAGTCATGTCATCATCCATGGCGTCCATGTACATGATTGCAAGCCATCACCGCCGGGATACGTGGCAGTTCGACCGGGAGTTAAGATTCGTAGAGGAGGGTCTGATGGGGATGGGATTAAGTTGTTCGGTGCTAGAAATGTTTGGATTGATCATTGTTCTTTTTGGAGTTGTAGTGATGGGCTTATTGATGTTATTATGAATTCTACTCATGTCACCATCTCAAATAATCACTTCAAAGAACATGACAAGGTAAATTATATGCTAGTATTTATTTTTGTACAGAAAAATAATGTTCGCTTAAGTTTCTTTTATGTTTTTTTGGTGGTTATAGGTGATGCTTTTGGGCTATAATGATGACGATGCAATTGAAGAAAAAATTCTAAGAGTGACACTTGCATATAATCACTTCGGAAAGAACTTGGTCCAGCGAATGCCAAGGTTATGTTTCTCAAACTGATTTTGAGAATTGGTCCAAATCTCAACCAATTCCAAACTAAACTGGTTTATCTTCATTTTGCCAAACTAACCCTAAATATCTTATGAACCGTATATTAAGATGCATAATTATGCGCATAATTATGTACATAATCTAACATTTACATCATTATAAGTGCTTTTCAGATGCCGACATGGACGATTTCACATCGTAAACAATTACTACAGTAAATGGGAAAATTACGCCATTGGAGGCACAGCAAATCCTTGGATTCTTAGCCAGAGTAACGTATTTGTTGCTCCTGACAAACCTTTTAACAAAGAGGTACACGTTCCTTATAAAAATTTATTTCTCCCTCGTCAAAACAATTGGTTGATGATATACTAATGTATTTGATTAATAAACAACGTAGGTTACAAGTAGAATACACGCACAAGATTGGACCAATTGGAATTGGCTATCGCATGGAGATGAGCTAAAAAATGGTGCAAAATTTACACAATCAGGGAAAAGTGATATAGAGTTCTATAAGCCTATGATTAGTATGAAGGCTAGATCTTCAGCTGAGGTGGTGAAAATGACTGCAGATGCTGGTGTTCTCAAGTGTGAGATAGGGATGGCCTGTGTTCGTAAGACGAGGTAAATTTTGTGTGTGAGTTGCCCTTTGTTCATAAGACACGGCAAATTTTGTGTGTTAAATTTTTTTTATGAGTTTGTTGGTAATCGCCTCAATTTTTCGCAGTGAGTAATGTACCTGGAGTCTAAGTAATGAATGGAGACTCCTCATCGACCATCCTTCTCCATGAGCTCGTCTAAATGAAACTAGCTTTTTTTTTTTTTTTTTTGGTGTTTGTGTGTGTGTGTGTTTGGGGGGGAGGGGGGCAAAACAGAGGCTTGGGAATTTTGGTGAACTCTCAGTAAGTCTTTTTTTATTTTGTTTTATTTTTTTGGCAAAGTAGCAGTTAAATACATTACAGTTTCCTCCATTTCGCACTTATATGTCCTCACTTGCTTTCGCAGCACTTTATATACCCTCAAGTTTTTAGAAACTGCACTTAAATACTTTACATTATATAAATATGAGAATTTGCCTTTTTTAAGTAAAAATAGGGCAAAGAGCCCTATCAGAATTGTATTATAAGCTGTAGGAAGAAGAACCGAAAAGTTGATATCACAGTGTGATTTCAATGACAGTCAAGTAATGGGAAGAGGAGTGAACCAATGTAGTCACTCTTCACCAACAGCCTGTCCAATAGAAAGCACCCTATGAAATCAACAAGCTATACATGAGGAAATAAAAGTATGAAGATGTTGACAACCCAACATCAAAATACAGAATAACTTGTTTGTCCAACATTAAGAACATCAACAACAACCAAAATCTGAAGGATCCCCTACTGCTTAATTGTTGTCTTCACTGGAAGATATGAGCTCTGAAATTCCCTTCTCTTTGATAATCTCCTTCAACTTTGCCCCCTTCTTATTTGCGGAGAGATTTGTCCAGAAAATGAGAAAGTGAGCCACACTTGATGCCATCTTCTTTGCTTGAGGAACATCTCTAGAAAAAAATCAAATTGTTTCGAGCCCACCAAATACACCAGCATAGTTAGAAAACAAATACTCCAAAATTTATAAACCTTAGAATCCATATTAGCATCACTACGTGAAATAAAACATTGTCTAATATCTGTAGATCTCCTAATATAGGAAGAAAGCAGTCTCAAACCTATTTGGCAAAATTGCAGTTCAAAGAGATGTGTTCATGGTTTTTCAGAGCTAGATTACATATGGAACAGAGAGAATTTTGCCTTAAAATTTCCCAAGTAAAACTCTCAGAAAGTAATTTTAGATCTTTTTAGCCCTTGAGCTATATCTCTATTTTATATTATAATTGAAGTTGATTTAAGATAGAATTCTGGTATACTTAATTACAATTCATTAATTATATATATATATAGTGAGTGACAAATGGAAAACTCAGAGAAAAATTCTCACACTTCAAAAACGTAAGGTATTTTAAGGTACTTAGTAAAACTATTAGAAAGTGCAAGGTCTATAAATGATAACAAACATAAATAAGGGTATATAAGTGCAAAGTAGGAGAAACTGTTAGGTATTTAAGTGCTAAATTAGCCTTAACTTTCTAGTCTAAATGTTTGCAAGTCTAACCCCTTTCAAAATAATATCATTTGGAAGTTAATTAACGAGCATATTCTCTTAAATGGTATGAATGCTATAATACAAATATGTTTAAGGCTAAATAGAACTTAAATACCTTACATATAGTTTCACTCCTTTCACACTTATTTATATTTAGTTGTATTTCATAGCATTTATATACCTTAAGTTGTTCAAAATTTCGCGTTTGCAAAATAAAGTATATTAAAGTGCTAATTTTGAACAACTCAATATATATACGTGCTACGAAATACAACTAAGGCTCTATAAGCGCCAAGAGAGTGAAACTAGACGGTATCTAAGTGTTATTTAGAAAATATTTAATGGTCAAATAAGTAAAGCTCATACAAGAGATTAGATTTAATTGAACATTAATTACTAGAGAAGCTCGAAACGCAACTACATCGAAATCTTGCATCTGAGCAAGAATAGAATGCAATTCTATCTTTCCATTCATGCTTACCAACATAATGTGTGTTTGAATGTTAGAAATAACATTCCCATTTAGCATCAATTCTCTGGAAATTGTTATTCCGAATGAGTTATCAAGGAATTGATATTTTCACTTTGAGAATGAAAATAATAAAATAATTTCTAGATGTACCCTTCTAAAAAAAATTCCTACTTAATTCTCTAATCGCACACAAACATGAGAATGAGAATGAACATTCCATTTTTCACATTAACTCCACTTCATTCCTATGTTCATTTCATTCTCACTTGACTTCATTCTTGTATACCAAACATGGCTAGTGACATGTGTTGGTTTATTTTTCTGACTTACTAAAGTTAAAGCATTAATTGAAATTCCTATACCATAGCCCCACCATTGGAAATAAAATAATAATGATAAATCAATACACCTAATAACTTTAACATGCACAGTATGTTGTTTTCTCTGTGAAAGTTGTAATTGTAGTAGTAAATCTTATCAGGACACTTTACACGGTATAATTTCAGTCTATTCGGAGAGCTTAAATGCTAAATGATTGTTGGGGTCTCAATCCTCCTAATTGGATGATTTTAGGATACTTCACGCATGAAAAATGTTTCGGGATGACTTTATTGCCTTGTAATTATAGATATGAAACTATGTTAAGATATACTCAATTTTCAACCAATAAGTGTAGCATCTCCAACAAACTCATTCTTTTCCCCGTTAAAAAAACAGGGTTAATAATGGATAGACCACCTGTACCGTCGCCAAAAGGGATTTATTACTCTAATAGCTATAAATTTTTATCGAAAGAATTTTGTTGTTTCAAATAGACCCTCTTAGAATCTATTTGCAATCCCTAAGTGGAAATCTATTATTACCAGATAGACCCCCTTAAAAGGTTTAAAAAGGTTCTGACTCAGGGTGTCTATCTGCCACAGTAGAACTACGGGGGGATGTGGTGAACCTATCGCAAATAACTAAAATAAATAAATAAAAACAAAAACAGGGGCAATGCAAAAATTGCTCTCCTCCCAAAGTTTTTTTTACCATGCACGTGAGATTTTCAAACAGGTGCCTTCTCATGTTTTAGCATTTCTTTACGTGTGGTTTAAAGCCACGAGCTTATCTTCTTACCTCCTACACCTCCTCTTTAAAAGAGGACAGCCATTGGCCCAATCCACCTAAATCTTTTAACAGTTAATAGTTGGCTCATATGCTTGCCATCAAACTGACAAAGCCTTTCGGTTGTTTTCAGCAACACCAAACTAAAGTGGACCAGCCCAAGGTCCACTTATTAAATAATTTACAAACACAACTAACTCGAAAAACAAACTTCAAGGTTATTATCAAGTAAAGTGGAATGAGTGCCGACGACCTTTAACTACAATAATTCAAGTGGTAAATTACAAGGCCGCATATATATATATATATATATCTAGGTTTTGAAGAAAACCCCTCCATTTATTAAATTCATAAATAAAAAAATCATTGTACACATGAGTCCAACGAACCACCTCCTGATATATTCATATCAGTTCGACAAATTTCCGCAATTATTCTTGTTGTTTTTATGTGGTATCTTATATCATTTTCTTCACATATTACATTAAATAAATCTACACATTTATGGCAAGGTGAGGAAATTTTTTTTTGTCGAACTGAAGTGGTTGAAGATGTTCCTTGTTGGAACTTAGTATGAAGATGGTCCATACAAAACGGGGTATAGAAGACAGGAGTTTCTCGTAATTTTACTAGAAAAAGCTCCCGAGTAGCATCAGGAAAAAGATTGGCAACATTGATGCCTGATGGGTCACACTCAAACGCTAGTTGTCAATAAAGGCTCGTAGGCCAAAAATGTCCCCACGAAAGTGTACGGATAAATTTACGGACACATTTGAGGCCACGGTAGCCCAAATGGGTGCGAGATTATTTATTTATTTATATTTGTGAGTTACATTGAATTCTCTTGGATAAGAGAATTTGGTAGTTCGCAGTGGCACATCACCTTTTGTTGGTAATTCGAAACAATCAATGGAATATGTGCCCTTCCGGACATTGTGCTAAGAGTTTAATAAGTAGAAAAATCATCGTAAATAAAAGAAAAATTACAGGAATGATAAACAAAAAAACACACACCAGATTTAACGAGGTTCGGCAACGTGCCTACGTCCTTGGGAACCGCACCGTACAATTCTTTGATTAATTTGAAGAAGATTACAATGCTCACAAATAGGTCTTTATCTCTCTGAGATATCTCTCTCTAATAGCCGTCAAAACCCTCTTTTTCTCGTGTTCTCTGAACCCTAGCATAACCAGGGTCTGGTGCACGTTCTCGGTCGACCGGAGTCCTCGTGTTGGTCGATCGACCATAACGTTCATTCCCTACAGGGGTTTTCGGTCGACCGAACCATCCATGTCGGTCGACCGGCCAGAGCGAGCTTCTCACGCTCGTTTCCTGCAGGCGCTTCGGTCGACCGGACCAAGCATGTAGGTCGACCAAACTAGGTTTTTCCAGTTTTCTTCGTTGATTTGATTCCAGGTTTGGTCTGCACTCTCGAAACTAACAATCTCCCACTTGGAGATCAAACCGCCATCAGTGAGCTCTCCCGAACTCGTGCCATCTTCGCAAGCATCTTCTCCTCCCCGCATAAAATCCAATTTCTTCATCCTACATCATCTCGCCCCGCCGATCCTCCTAGTGTGATTCCGCCTTCATCTTCTATGCGTGAAGGCCAACTGAAATTACACACAACTTCAGTATGTCGATAGTCACTGCTTTCGTCAACATATCCGCAAGATTTTAGCTCCCTAAAATCTTCTCCAATCGTAACTTGTCGTTAGGCCTGTCCATCCGGGCCGGGCAAAACCGGAGCTCGGACCCGGACCCGGGTACCCCGGGCCCGGGCCCAACCGGGCCGGGCTCCGAGTCGGCCCGGATTTTTTTTAATTTTTTTCTTTTCTTTTTTTTTATAAAAAAATGCTAAAAATTAGTTTAAATTTATTATATTTTATATAATTATGTATTAGTATATACTTATAAATTATTATGTAACTATATATTATATATACATATATTATATATATTATATATACATATATTATATGTAAATATATTATATATATTTATAATCTATAACTTGAGAGAGAGAAAATCGCATAAGTAGCCATTGCCCGTTGGGCCAATGGGGAAGAAGTAGCCCGTATGTAATATACTATACTTATATACTAAGAGAGAGTATACACCACATATTATACATATATAAGAGAGAGTATACTTATATAAGGGGAGTATACATATATAAGAGAGAGTATACTTTATAAGAGGGAGTATACATATTTATACATATATAAATAAGAGAGTGTATACCT